CTTAGTCGTTTTGGCCTTGAATGCATCAAGAAAAGTCTTCTTCTCCAGTTTGACCAACTCGTACGGACAACCCTTCATTCTTGGTCAACCCAAGATCGCGTTGACCTGAAACACGCTTCTGTAGCTGTATATATACGCTTCTTCACTCTTTTCCTTTTTCTTAATTAAATTTAATTATTTTTTTTGTTAATTAATGTTTAATTGAATTGCAGATGTTTGGTGAGTTTGGCATGAATCAGCTGTGTATATGTGATCCTGAAACCTCAAAACAATTGGTGGATAATTACATTAATGGCACTAATGCTATTATGTCATTTCCTTTGAATATTCCTGGCACCACTTATTATAAAAGTCTCCAGGTAAATATTTAATTAATTAATTAATTAATTAATTAATTATAATATTAGTTGAGAGATGGATAAAACATAAGGTCCAAATATTTAATTAATTAATTATCAAACTAATTTTTCTTTAGCTGTTTTATTTTAGATATAAAAAAAAAAAAAAACCAATTCCAGCAAATATTTTCACAAATTACAGTAAATGATCGACCGATCGAATAACTTTTATGATTAATGTTTATAAGATTTTTTTTTACCAAAAAAAAGATAGTTTTAAATTTATTTTTATTTATTTTCAGGACAAGGAGAATTTCTTACACTTTTTTTTAATAGTAATAATTTTTTTTTACGAGTAATCGTTTCTCGATCTATGAGACAGGCTGAGCATGAAGAAATTATCGCCAAGAGAAAGAATCCGGATTCTTCAGTAACATGGGAGGAGTATAAATCCATGACTTTTACTCTTCAAGTAATTAGTTTAATTTTTTTTATTTTTTTTGCATTAATTATTTATAAGTATGTTTCTATATATATATATATATAACTTGTTAATTAATTAATTAACCAGCAACTTAATTGTACAGGTTGTTAATGAGGCATTGAGATTAGGAAATACTGTTCCTGGATTTCTACGAAAAGCTGTAAAGGATATCAAAGTTAAAGGTATATTCTTATATTCTTATATCAAAGTTTAATTAATTAAATTTGCTACATAATTTTATTTAAATAAATAAAATGTTGATTATTTGTATGAGAAATTGCAGGGTATACAATTCCAGCAGGATGGGCAATTATGGCTTGCCATTCAGTTCTGCATTTAGACCCTAACATATACAAAGATCCACTCAAATTCGACCCCTCTCGTTGGAAGGTATTTAATTTAATTATATATAATACTATCGACGTATAATCCGATTTTAAAAAAAATTATCGATACTTACAAGAAATATGCAACGAAACAGAACGCGACACCGGAGTTTATAAGCAAGAACTTGAAACCATTTGGTGGAGGCATTAAGCAATGTGCAGGTGCAGATTTTTCTAGGGCTTCGATGTGCATTTTCCTCCATGTTTTCGTCACCAAATACAGGTATCTATACACATATACGCATATATACATACATATATGCGTATATATTATTAATATGCATTTATAAATACTAAATAATTGTTTTTATATATAATTTTTTTATTAATTGCTGAAAATTTTGTGACAGGTGGACTATAGTTGAAGGAGGTGATATAATCCAAAATCCAATAATGCACATAAAGAATGGACTACATATCAGTCTATCTGAAAAGAGGGATTAAGTTCTATAGGAATATAAAACTTTGTTGAATAATTTTTAATTGTTTATTTTGTGGAGAACAATAAAATAAATTAATCCATGAAATTATATTGTTTTTTATATGTGTATAATATATAATGCACCAATATTTTCTTCCATGTAATTTGGACTTCAGGTCTAAATATATTGACTAATTTACCCTTTTTCATCGTTGGATTATGAATTAATGAATCATATGATTATTTATATTTAATTTGCTATGGTATGAATTTGAAAAAAAATATATATATATGGTAATAATTTTTAATATTTAGGACTTATCTAGATTAAAGCCCATTTGGACTGGGCCAATTCGTTTTGGGCTCCTCGCCTCCTCCAACTTGAATATTTACCAAAAAGATCCTCATGAATATATTTCTATTCAATTGACGCCTTTTTATTTTGGGTAAATTACAAACACCTCCCTGTGGTGAAGTCTAATTACAAAAACCCCTTAGTTGTAAGAAATTACATCCAACCCCTTACAATTTGTAAATTTTTAACACCCATCCTCATGCTAAAGGGTGTTAATGTAAGAAATCTACATATTGCAAGGCGTAGACGTAATTTTGGGAAAATGAAGGATTTTTTCAGAAATAGACTTTACCTCGAGAGGGCGATTGTAACTATCCTTTTATTTTTTGAACGACGTTATCGCGAGAAAAAAAAAATGTTTCATACTGTTTCGTAGTGGGACTCCTCCAACTTAAGTGTTTACCAAAATACCCCCCAAACCATAAAACTAGTGGTCGATCTCTTATGTTTATTTCTTTATTTATTATTTTTTTAGGACTGTCAATTTCTTATCAGCACCCCTAGTTTTCTTTTCAAGTGATAATTTATCCCCAAAAAAGAAAAAAAAATCATATTTATGCAGTTTTGCTTTGTATGTGTGGTGCGGCTTAGACTATGCTACACCAGGTGAAATACATTGGATAGATCTTTACCATTCATATACACACAAACACACACACTCACATTGGTGTGTAGATCAACGGTAAAATATCACCCGGTGTAACCTTCACCGGGTGTAGCATAGAAATAACCGTGTGGTGCAACGTTAATCTAGGGCAAATTACAATCGTCCCCCTGAAAAAAGGTTTATTTACGGAAAAAACTTCTAATTTATCCATAATTACATCCACCTCCCTACAATTTGTAGACTTCTTACATTAATACCCTTTTGTAGGGGGTGGATGTAAGAAATGTAGAATTATAAGGGGACTGGATGTAATTTGTCAGACCTAAAAGGGTATTTTTTGTGTGTAATTATTCTTTAATTCAGGGAGGTGATTGTAATTTACTGTTAATTATATATATGCTTTCGTAAAGCTTACCACAATTCATGCTAATACGTGACAGAACAGAAGTGAATCCTTATCTTCAGTAATTAATGAAATTATAGCCTGCCTAACCTCCTAATCTAATTATAGTAATTAAACACCTGCCTAACCTCTTAACTAATCCCCTTTTCACAAGAAACCCATTTCATCTATTTAATTAAAAAAAGCAAAACAACTCTCCAATCTGAAATTAATTACACTCAATTAATCTTGCAAATCCATTTTTTTTATTCTGAAAAATGTGGTCTATTGAGATATATATTGTTGGATTTGTGATTGTAATTGTAACACAGTTGATAATAACATACAGATGGAGAAATCCAAAATGCAATGGGAAACTTCCACCTGGTTCTTTAGGGTTTCCTTTCATCGGAGAGTGTCTCGAACTCATTTTTCCCGCGCATTCCTATGATCTTCATCCTTTCATTAAAAAGAGGCTCCAAAGGTAATTATTTACGTTCACGCCATTTCATTTGCAGTAGAAATTGGAACGGAATTTTCAATTTTTGGCAATTTCAATCTTAGAAAAAAGAAAATATCGATGTAGTACTACTAGTAGGAGTGAAAAAAAATTCCATTGCGATTTTTCGATTTTTTTACATTGAAATTGAAAGTATATTTACACTCATTTGAAATCCGAACTTCCGAATCGCTTTTAATTTACAAATATTTTGGGTCTTTTTATTCATATATATATATGATGTACATATAAATATGAATCAAGATGTCACTTTTGAAAAAATATTTTTGTTTCATATTATCTCTTATTTTACATATCCAATACTACGTTAATTGAATATTTTCTTGTTTTAACCTTATTAATTCAATTCTACGTATTAACCATCTCTTGTAAACAAAGGTTATTTTTGTCATTTAATTAATGCTTATTGAGTTTTTTTAATTTCGATTTTCAATTTTAAATTTTCAGATACGGGCCCCTGTTTTGTACAAACGTTGCAGGAAGAAACGTCGTCGTTTCAGCAGACACCGAGTTCAACAATTATATATTCCAGCAAGAAGAGAAATTGGTGGTACGGTGGTACCTTGATTTATTCGAGAAATTATTCAGAGAAACCGGCGAGATTAGACCGGACGGTCTAGCAATACACAAGTACGTGAAGAGCATGACACTCGGTCGTTTTGGGCCGGAATGCGTAAAGCAGAACCTTCTTCTCCAGTTCGAACAACTCGTGCAAACCACGCTTCTTTCATGGTCAACGCTAGATCGCTTCGATTTGACTCACGCTTCTGTTGCTGTACACTTCTTTCAACTCTTTTCATTTTTCATATATATGTTTTATTGCAATTATACCCCTGTTTTATATCGAATTATTAATAAACTCCCCGTATTATTATTATTATTATTATTTGCAAAAAGACTAGATTGTATTGCAATTATAGCCCTCTGTTATATCAAATTATTAATAAACTCCCCGTATTATTATTATTAGCAAAAAGACCCCTATAATGCATTTTTTGCCAAATGATGATGTTTTACCTTTTACTATGGGTGGAAATCACACGACTCATATGAGAGTTGGCACTTTCGGGAAAAAAAGTTTTTTTTTGGGAAATATTTTTTAGGATAAAATCAGATCAGAAATTGGAATCTAATATGCATTCCAATTTTTGGATGGGAATTGGCGCGTTCTAATTTCCAACCCTAGGTTTTAGGGGTAGTTTGCTAAAAAAAATTGCATTTTAGGGGGTGTGGCTAATATTAGTAATAGGAGGAATTTCTTTACAATTAGAGCAAACACACGAGTTTCGAATGCAATAACCTTAAATATTTATCTAATTAATTTTATTATTATTATTTTATTTTATTTTTTTGTGAAAAGCAGATGTTTGGTGAGTTTGGTACAAATCAGATGTGCATATGTGATCCTGAAACCTCAAAACAATTGGTCGATAAGTTCATTAATGGCAGTAGAGCTATAATTTCATTTCCCTTGAATATTCCAGGCACCACTTATTATAAAAGTCTCAAGGTAATTTAATTAATTAAATTCGATTATTTAAATTTTCTCTAATTCGGTCTCGTTTCTGTTGTCCAATTATTTAATTAATCATGTCATGTTATTATTATTATTCAGGACAGCGAAAAAGTGATGAAAATGTTGAAGGAAATTGTGAACGAGAGGATCATCGCTTCGGCACAAGACGAACACAATTATAAAGACGATTTGCTTAGTAAACTGATCAAAGATATCGACGTTGTCGACTTCATCACACCGGAACACATCATTCACATACTATTCTCTCTCATGTTTGCCATTTTTCAGACCATTCCTATAATATTGGTTCTCGCCGTCAAATTCATCTCGGAAAATCCAGCTGTTCTAACCGAATTAATTGTCAGTAATCAATCAATTTTTTTTTTTGTATAGTATTATGTTTTTTTTATTTTAATGTTAGTAGTTTAATTTATCGATCATGTGAATCAGGCCGAGCACGACGAAATTATCGCCAAGAGAAAGAATTCGGATTCCTCGGTAACATGGGAGGAGTATAAATCCATGACTTTTACTCTTCAAGTAATTAATTTAATTTATTTATTTTCTGCATTAATTAATATTTAAGTATGTTTATATAATATATAGTAAATTGTTAATTAACTTCATGGTACAGGTTGTTAATGAGACACTGAGACTAGGAAATACTTTTCCTGGATTTTTACGAAAAGCTGCTAAGGATATCAAGGTTAAAGGTATATTCTTAATTCTTATATATATATAATTACCTACTTAATTTAATCAAATTTGAGATTTGTTTTTTTTTTTTTTAAATCAATTAATTATATTATTTGAATGAGAATATGCAGGGTATACAATTCCAGCAGGATGGGCAATTATGGCTTGTCATTCAGCTCTGCATTTAGACCCTAACATATATAAAGATCCACTCAAATTCGATCCGTCTCGTTGGAAGGTATTTAATTTAACTATATATAGTATTAACGACGTATAATCCGATTTTTTAAAAATTATCGATACTTACAAGAAATCTGCAACGAAACAGGACGCGACACCAGAGTTTATAAGCAAGAACTTGAAACCATTTGGTGGAGGTATAAAGCAATGTACAGGTGCAGATTTTACCAAGGCCTCGTTGTGCATTTTCCTCCATGTTCTCGTCACGAAATACCGGTACTACTACTATATATATATATGTATTAATAAATTGTAATTTTTTTTAATTAATTAAAAAATATTTCGTGAAATAATCGACGAAATCATCTGAAATATTGCTGCAATTTTTTGTAACAGGTGGAATGTAGTTGAAGGAGGTGATATAATCCAAAATCCTGTCTTGCACTTGAAGAATGGGCTTCATATCAGTCTGTCTGAAAGGAAGAATGTGAATTAATTAAACATGTCGAAATTGAGATTACTGTAGTTATTGTTTTTGTTTTTGTTTTTTTAATTTCATGGATAACAATAAATTAAATCGAGATTAATGTATTTATACATCTATATTTTTACTATTTACACATTTTCCATGTTCACATGAATTACTTTTGTACTACATTGTTTTTCTATATCGGTTTCAGAACTTTCAAACATCGTTTGTTTTTCTATATCGGTTTCAGAACTTTCAAACATCGTTTGATTGATAATATAAGATTAAATAATCTAATGAAAATTCAATTGTTTTATCGGATCTGGAGGCGTCCAACAAAAAAACTTCATAATAATATTTATGGATCGACCCCGCAAGTTATTGAGAATACCAAACATCAAACAAATTTCAATTATTGAGTTAAGGGTAAATTACAACCACCTACCCCTGAGGTATGGTCAAATTACGAAAACCCCCTCTTGTTTGAGAAATTACAACCACCTCCTCAACTATAAATCTTCTTACACATCCACTCTGGTGGTTTCAAATTTAGTGGAATCTTCTAGATTATATGGAATATTCTCAATTTTGGACATGTTTTATCCCATCCGAGCTCCACATTTTGAAGCTAGGTGATCATAAGAAACTTTTTTGGCTTGTATATATATCAGATTGTAGTGTATCATAAATTGTATTTTTGAACAAAACAAGTACAAACTAGAGAACATTTCAGGGAACTTAACCCCGTAATTATACCGTTGACAAAAATCTAGAAATCATAATCCCATATTTGTTTGGCATGACTAAGATCTATAATGCCAGCACTGTGATTATATTAAATACCATCTGCCTAACTTGTAAAATTCCCCTTTACCATAACCATCACTTCATCTATTTAATATAACATTTTATATATATAGCCCGAACAAAATTTATATTAATGCAAAAAGTCCTAATTTTTTTTTTATTTTCTTTTCCTATTTTTAAAAAACGTATAGTATTGTCAAAAAAAATATTTTTTTTTCCAGAGGCGCTGCCGCCGAACACCCGAAAAATTAAGTTCACCCTGTAACTAGACCCTAGACTCGTCACTGTGTCTGTGTGCCTAACCTTTCAAGATTATAATTAGTAAAAATTAAACCTGCCTAACCTCTTAAATCCTTTTATTGGAGAGTGCCTTGAACTCATTTTTCCCGCGCATTCGTATGATGTTCATCCTTTCATTAAAAAGAGGCTACAAAGGTATTTCGAATTTCAAATTTAATTTAATCGCACGTAAAATAAAACGTACGGGGTGTCGTCTAGAAAGAAACTTGGAACTCCGGTCATTTTGATCCAAATTCAATTTTTCTGCATTTGTTTTGGAGTATATATTTAAAATCATTGGAAATCCTTAATTTTCAAAAAATATTATTTCTTGCAAAAGTATATTTATATGATGTACTTTTAAATATAATTTATTTAAATACTATACTTAAATTTTATGTATAAAGTATTAAGTGGCCACAAAGAGTTATATGCTATATAAACTTTATATGGTTGGATTATATAAATGATTTTTTTTTACGAAAAAAAAAATCTGAATCCAACTTTGTTCATTTATTCAATTAATTTTCCAAAAATTTGAAGCGTATGAATTTTCGAAAACTCGGAAATTGGAATTAGTTTCCAATTTTTGTTTTTTTTTTCTTTTTTTTTTTTGTTTGAATCAGGCGAACTAAATTATTCCAATATGATCCATCCGATTCAATTAGTGCATGTTTTCGTTAACTTGCGGTTTAAAAATCAACTATCTGAATTCTAATCTAACATTTTTTTTTTTTTAAAGATACGGACCGTTGTTTCGTACAAATATAGCAGGCAGAAATGTGGTAGTATCAGCAGATCAAGAATTCAATAATTTCATTTTCCAACAGGAAGATAAATCGGTTGTACGTTGGTACTTAGATTCATTCGGAAAGCTCCTTAAACAATCGGGAGAAGTTACCTCAAACGGTCTCTCGTTACATAAACACATGAGAAACACTGTCCTAACTTCTTTCGGTATCGAATCCATCAATCGGAATCTTCTTTCTCTGTTCGAAGAACTCGTTAGAAGAACCCTTCATTCGTGGTCCACACAAGACCATATCGATGCGGAATATGCTACTATAGCCGTATGTATATATTTTTTTATTCAACTTTTTTTTTATAAATTTTGTGACAATATAAATTAATTAATGATTAATTTTCGTAATTAGCAGATGTTCGGTGAGTTTGGCGGGGATCTGCTGTGCAGTTACGATGCCGAAACATCGAAAGAGTTGATAGATAAATACGTAAATGCCACTAGTGCTGTAATGTCATTTCCTTTTAATATTCCTGGCACCACATATCACAAAAGTCTCAAGGTAATAGTATATTTAATTTAATTTAATTTAATTACTGAAACAGTTAAACCTCTATAAATTAATACAGTTGGGACTGATAAAATAATCAATACAGTTGGGACCGATAAAATTCTATTAATTTAGCGAAATATTAAATTATCAAAATAATAATTTAATACATTTTTACCGAGTCGGGACCGAACAAAATTATTAATTAAGCGAGGTTATTAATTAAGCGAAGTTATTAATTTATAGAAGTTCTACTGTAAATAGCATATGCATGAATAATTAATCATGTATTTCAGAACAAGGAGAAAGTGATGGAAATGCTGCGGGAAGCGGTGAACGCCAGGCTGGCATCGCCGCGAGACGACAAAAATGATTTGATCAGTAAAATGATTAAAGATATTAATATTGTGGATTTCGTAAGGCCGGAATATATTGCTCAGAGACTGTTCGCTCTTCTGTTTACCATGTTCCAGACGCTTCCGTTACTCTTAGTTTTCGGTCTCAAGTTTATATCGGAGAATCCAGCTGTTGTCGGAGAACTAATTGTCAGTAATCCAAATTCTATACTAATACGACCGTTTTTTTTTTTTTTTTTTTTTTTGAATATTTTGTATTAATATTTGTGAATTTATAAACAAGAATAGTATTTTTTTTTTAATCCATGAATCAGGCCGAGCACGACGAAATTATCGCCAAGAGAAAGAATTCGGATTCCTCGGTAACATGGGAGGAGTATAAATCCATGACTTTTACTCTTCAAGTAATTAGTTTTATTTATTTATTTTTTCTTTTTTTTTTTAATTTTGCATTAACTAATTATCACTATGCTTCCACAAGATCGATAACCGGTTGTGTGTGTGTGTGTGTGTATATATATATGTATATATAGGTCGTTAACGAGACATTGAGACTGGGAAATACGGTTCCTGGATTCATGCGAAAAGTTGTGAAGGATATCAAAATAAGAGGTATGCTTGTATTGTATACAGTTAGCTAATTAGCTTATTATTTTTGTTTTTATTTGTTGTTCAATAATTGCATGAGAGTTTTCACATTTCAGGTTATACAATTCCAGCAGGGTGGGGAATTATGGCCTGCCAATCAGCTCTGCATTTAGACCCTAACATTTACAAAGATCCACTCAAATTCGACCCCTCTCGTTGGAAGGTATTTAATTAAATTATTTATAATACTATCGACGTATAATCCGATTTTTAAAAAAATATCGATACTTACAAGAAATCTGCAACGAGACAGGACGCGACACCGGAGTTTATAAGCAAGAACTTGAAACCATTTGGTGGAGGCATTAAGCAATGTGCCGGTGCAGATTTTTCTAGGGCCACATTGTGCATTTTCCTCCATGTTTTCGTCACCAAATACAGGTATCTATATATAGGGGCGAAAGTATATAAACTAATAGATAAATACCAAACTAAAATAAAAAAAATATTTTTTTTTTGTTTTTTTTTTATAACAGGTGGAGTATAGTTAAAGGAGGTGACATCGTCCAAAATCCTATCATGCACTTAAAGAAGGGGTTTATTATCAGTGTATCTGAAAGAAGCGATTGAGTATTTTATATATATATATATATATATATATATATATATATATATATATATATATATATATTTATATATATGTATGTGTTGTGCCATCTACTGATTTAATTAGTTGTAATTTGATAAAGTTAATAAATTTGATAACAATCTTCTTGTGTCGTAAATCGGTCGATCGTGCCTTGTCTGGAAATCGAGAGAGTTCCTTGTCTAAAGCATGAAGCTTAGCTGCTATCGAATCAAGAATTACATGCGTCTCGGATTCAAAATCCTTGCTTTGCTTATTATTGACACCTTTATTCGCTAACAACTTTTCTAATTTGTTGCCTGCGTAATAGTCGACTTATAAAACTAACGGAAATAAATCGAAGGACATTCTTCTTTTGAGTGAGTTTTTACTATTTTTCTTCATTGCACCGTGTGCATTCAGACACATGATCAAGTAATTAATTAGGATATCGTACTTAAGAAGCACCAATTTTATTTATTTTTTTATTATTATTATTATTTTTTTATTTAATTACATTTTTTAATTATTTTTAACTGTTATATATGTCAATTTGCTGCCATTTGTGAGATTACTTTCCTCCCAAGTCATTTTTTCCTGGTATAAATAGGCAATCCACCATTGTACAGAACAAATCTATTTTTCCCAATCTTTTTTCCGAGCTCCATCGAGTATTTACAATTCCGCACATTGTCATTCGAGGTTCGTTTGCTTTTCTTCATTCTAGTTTTCTCGTTTTGAGCTTAGTTTTGTTAATGTAATGAATCTCGTTTGAGCTTAGTTTGTTAATGGAATGAATCAAGTTTATGATCACATAATTTTGCGTAGTAATAGTCCAAGAAGTCAGGTTGGGTCGATATCGAGCTCGATTAAAAATAAAATAACAACAAATGTACAAAAGCTCGAGTTTGACTCAGTATATTACAGTTTTGGTCCCTCAAGTTTGCACTAATTTTATATTTGGTCCCCAATATTAAAAAAAAACACATTTGGTCCCTCATATTTAAAAAAATCAACACTTTTAGCCATTTCCGTCAATTTTCCGTTAGTAGTGACGGAATAAAGCGTTTTCCCATCACTGCCTTAACTGACGGAGTAACGGTAAATTGACGAAAATGACCAAAAGTGTTAAATTACTGAAACATGAGGGACCAAATATGTAATTAGGGTAAACTTGAAGGGTAAAAACTGTAATTTTCCCAACATTTAACTGCAAAATGCAAAGCGCGTGAATGGTACGTGTCCTTTCTCCTACGCGTGACCAACTGTTGAATTCTGCATCAGCTTTTTTGTCTCGTAAATGGCTTCTCTCTCTACTTTCCTTAATTATAGACATTGCTTCCCGCGTTTTCCAATTTGCCAAAAAAAAAATTCTGGATAAACTAATGCGTGCAAGCTGAGTATTTCTTTATAATCCCAACCTACATTTATTGTTCTTCAAACCGTTTTTATTTTATATTTCTCTTTAAGCTTTCTTCTTCCCTCATAACACAGAACTTTTATCCGCCGCCTCCGATTTTCCCATTTCTTTGTTCATTGTGTGTATATATATACACACACAATTACACACACACACACACACACATATATATACATTTATATATTTTATACCCAATTGAATTAACACTTAACAGTATATTTATCAAGGGTTTGATACCCCACTCATTTACTTGCCGATTTTATTACGAAATCTATGAAGCTGAATTAGGTATTTCTGTAATTAAAAACTGAATCTTTCGATTTCTGGTTAAATTACTTTCTACGCATTTATTATTGTTTATGGGTTTTCGCTGAATCGTGTTAATTTGGCTTGAATTTAGTTGTAGTTTCTGCTTTTAGTCTTTACTGCATACGGAAATGCTCAGTTCTTTGAAATTGATTTATGCCCCCCAACTGTTTGATAAATTTCATATGCTGATTTTATCAATTTTTTTTCTCTCTTTTTTTCCCTGTTTCATATCCTTAACTACAGAGTTGGAAATTCTAACCATGGTTTCCTTTTTCTTCTGATTTTTCTGTGGACAGATTATAACTAATCAAACTATTGGAACCATGGGAAGCCACATGAGCAAGAACTCCGGTGAAACTTCTGCTGCAAATGACCAAATCACCCCTCTGCACTACACAACTGATCAGCTACACTCGTACGAGGCAGCATGCAAAATCGACACGGATTTGCAGTCATTCGACACAACTCTCCAACTACGAACCAGCAATGTTATTAATTCTCTCGCAGTGGGTGTTGAAGTAAGGGCGTTGTCGTTCGATTCTCTAAGACAAGTCACAGAATGCCTTCTCGAAATGAATCAAGAAGTAGTTAAAGTGATCTTGGACTGCAAAAAGGACATTTGGAAGAATCAAGAATTGTTTGAGCTCGTCGAGGATTACTTCGAGAACAGCCTCAAAACCCTCGACTTTTGTGCAGCCCTCGAAAAATGCTTAAAATCAGCCCGAGACAGGCAATTGCTCATCCACATAGCCCTCCAGCAGTTCGAAGAAGAAGATAATAAAATCGAAGAAGGGAAAGTAAAATATTCGAAAACGTTAAAGGAATTGAAGAATTTTAAAGATGCGGGCGATCCATTCACCGACGATTTCTTCAAGATTTTTCAGTCCGTTTACAGTCAGCAAATTTCGATGCTGGAGAAATTGCAGTTAAAAAAGAACAAATTGGATAAGAAGCTGAAGTACATCCATGCATGGAGGAAGGTGTCTAGCATCATATTTGCAGCCACTTTCGCAGCGGTGCTGATTTGCTCGGTGGTGGCCGCCGCCATGGCAGCGCCACCTGTCGCAGCAGCATTGGCCGCTGCGGCTTCGGTACCGTTGGGCTCGATGGGGAGGTGGATAGATTCGCTTCTCAAGAACTACGAGAATGCTGTGAAGGGGCAGAAGGAGATTATTGGCTATATGAGTGTGGGCAGTTATGTGACTATTAAAGATTTGGATAATATCCGAGTGTTGATCGATAGATTGGAAATTGAAATTGAATCGCTACTGAAAAGTGCCGATTTCGCCGAGGAATCCGTGAAAGTTGCCGTGGATGAAATAAAGAAGAAATTGGCTGTGTTTGTGAAGAATATTGAAGAATTAGGGGATCAAGCCGACAAGTGCAGCCGGGATATTCGACGGGCGAGGACCGTTATTCTGCAGAGGATCATCAAACACCCTAATAACAGCTGAAGAACACACACACACACACACACATTAAAGTGTGGATTTATTTTATTTAGTTTTATTGATCTTAAGCTGGATGCTGTAATATTAGTGATGGATTATTAAACTAGTGTTGTAGACTTGGAAATTTGTTGATGGATTCTTATTACTTTGATTTTTAATCACTTTCTTTGTCTGCAAATGCTCTGTTCTTGATTTTACTAGTGTGATGAAAATTATGGGAATGGTATTTTAGTAACTTCCTATGCATGCATATTTATTAATTTTCTTAACCCGACCCGAAACAACACTAATTGTTAATTATCCTGCACTAACAAGAAACAATAAAAGCATACGAAACCATAAACGAAATATTGCTCCGTATAGAAAAAGAACAAGTACATAGTCTAGAATAACGTCCGTAAACGAAATCTCACTTCATATAAAGTCTATATAAATATATATCTACGCTTTTTCTCTAAACAACGATAGGCGAGGGCCGAATGTTGAAATAAGTAGCCGAGCCCATGTAAGCGCAAACTAACGATACGTATATTTTGAACCAAACCGATGAAAAAATGGTAAGAAATACGCATGTTCCTGTCAAGATCATTACAAAAACGAAGTTCACTAAACACTTGACAGTCGAAAGGTCCGTTTCTGTTCTTTCGTGAGGAAAATGACCCTTTGTGTAAAATTCAGACAGCATTTGATCTTTGAGCTTGAATATATTCATCAGCCACGAAGATATCTGTTTTTCGGATTTCGGGATTTCACCGAGAGGAATGCGACGTACGTGGATGTGAACTTCGGCGGGGTCCACCCCAAATGCGTTGTCCATGAAAGACGGGCAATTGTGGCGGTACCCTATTGTGATGTTGTAAACTGCATGCATAAATACGAAGGAGGTTTATTATATTGGAAAAAAATTAAGAATTCGAACAACAAATTCAGGGACTAAAATGCAATTTTGCCAGTTTATTATAAAACGAGAGAAAGGTAACGAAAAAACCTGCATCCAACGAGTCCCTCAAATTATCCAAACAAGCATAAAACCCCTTGGTCTTCGGAAGCAACACATGCTTCATAATAGGCAGTCCATTTTCCGAAGCATACTTTTGACTCCGAACGCACTTTTGTTCACTGCAATTAATTACACAAAACACGAACATTACGCACAAATGAACAATTTCCGATTAAAATAAAAAAATAAATTAACGGTTTATTTTTTACGTGAAATCAGTGCCCTCGGGAAAAACAGCAAGCCAAAGAGGATCCCGCTCGTCTCTAAAACCCGAAAGCATATTCTTCATCTTCAATTCATCGGCCTCCCATTTTCTCTCGACGGGAATAAATTCCATCACATGAAAAACCCAACCAAAAACGGGCAATTTCATCAAACTACTTTTAAGTATATACTTAATATAACCCTCGCACCCTTTTCTCAACGCGAGATTCCACAAGTACATCCAATCGACTTCGGTCCTGTGATTAGCAATAATCAAGACTCGTTCGTTTTTCGGGACGGAGTCGCCCGAAAAAACTACCCTCGTCTTGTTTATTTTCTCGAACAAGAACGGCCAGAGTGCGATCCAGCTCCCGAAGAAGTACGCGGTCGCCTTTCGGCTGTAATGTACGTCGACCAATCGCAGGGGGACAGCTGTCCAGAAGCCGCAGTAGATTAGTAGTACGAATGCTGTCGAGACTAGGATGATTAGGCAGAGAACGCCTCGTATTGCTCGTAGTGGAGTTAAGGGGCGGTGCGATTGGCCGTGCTTCGACTTTGGAGGTGAAGATTCCATGTGCTGAATATTGCGAAAAGAGCTGAAACAATGGAATCTTTTATTATGCAAGAATTAAAAATAATGGAATCTTTTGTTGGTTCTAAATTTAGTTTCACACACTACTTATGTGAGCCTTTTTTATTAGCAAACGCAACAAACTACACTCTCTATTTTTTTTTTTTTATAATAAAAAACAATATCTTGAAATCAATAATAGAATAATCAGACTACACTACACCCTTTGTTTTATTAATAAAAAACAATATCTTGAAATCAGATTTAGAAAAAAAAAAAAAAAAAAAAAGGGGACTTGGGCTTGAAAATTATAATCATTAAAATTAGCCCAGAATAAAATAAAAATTGATTTAAACAAGAGAAAGATGACGTCATATATCAAGAAAACCATTAATTAATGAGCCCACCTGAAGAAACCCTCGAGTTCTTGAAAATGTAGAGTGGAAATTCTCTAACCTGTTCTAGCTGATGATTCTTGAACACAGGAGCGATCAGAGAAAAATGCAATTTAAAAAATAAATAAATTAAAATAAACGAGGGTAATTATAAAAACAAAATCCAGCAAAATCAAAGCAAGAAATCTGAAAAATACCTGTATAATCCAGAGAATTCAAGAAAAGCAAATGAACATAGGATTCTGTTTTCTGTGTTTTGGTAGTAACGATGAAAGATTCCCTTTTTTTTTTTGGAATTAAATTAAATTAAATTAAATGATGGAACATAAAACAGTGGGAGCAGGAGTTGGCTAGGTGGAGAGTAATAAAGACTAAATCTAGAAAAATACTTGAATCATTCCTCTCTCTCTATATTCCATCTTCTCTACTGCTCTCTCTCTCTCGCTCCTCTTTCTCTCTCTATATATGTATATATATAATTAATAAAATTATAAATATATACTGTTTTCCAGCAGTTCATTGACAGTGACAACAGTAAAAGATCCCAACATTAATATTAGGGTAAATTACACATACACCCTTAAGTTATGTTGAAATAACTTTAAGGTCACTGTGGTATTGGTAATTACAACCACACCCCTGAACAATTATCGGAGCCAAAATTTCGTGCCCTGGAGACCGACATGCACTATAATTGTTTCATTCGGGACCGTTAATGCTGCCATAGACGAAAAAAACATAAATCTTATGTAAAATAATAAGATGAACCATATCACCCTCTAGCTCTATGTTGTCTTCACTATTGTCATAAACTAATAGTCCGTTAGAACACTAACATAACAATTTGTCCAATACATTATTTCGTTAGGGTTTCTAACAATGTTTCAGGGATGATTGAAATTATCGATACTATAGGGACCTTAAAGTTATTTTAGCATACCTCAGGGGTGTAAACGTAATTTACCCTATATTATAAATTCAACTTTTTGGTACTCAATTTGTTGAATTAAGACGCGTATGTATTTGCTATCGAAGCATTGAAAATAGGATAGCTAGGCCCATTTTGGTTCAATGGATATGGGTGGATGGATCTCCAAATTCATCCGGATCTGTGATTTGGTACGCATCGACCGGCCCAAGATTGATCCTGGGCCCGGGTACAAATCCAGCGTTTTCGAGTATACGGATCAGGCCTATCGAGGTGGGTTAATGTAATCCATTGTTTTTTAGCCCAAGTTTATACATGCTTTACAAAATTGCCCTCTTTAACTTCACTTAATTACGATCTTACCAGCTATAAATAAAATTTCTCTTCCACAACACCGTGTTTTCTGGGAGCCCTAACCCTGAAATCATGCCATGGATTTTTCAGATTGCTTCAAACTCAACCTAGACAAAATAAAGAATTTTGGGTGGTTGACCGGCCGCTTGTAGATGGTTTCGGTTTCGGAATTTTGGGTGGTTGTTCGGCCGCTGGTAGGTGGTTTCGGTTTCGCGGCTTGTAGACGTTTCGGTGGTTGTTTTTCTCGATTTTCTGCTACACGTCGATTTAAGGTCAATTTTCAAATGTGTTTAAGCTTTTGTAGATTACAGATGATTGTAGATTTGTCTGATTTTTTATTTTTTATTTTTTTTGGTATTTACACTACATAGTTATGGAGTATGCTTAATCGAAAAATAAATAATTACCCATGTCACGGTTTGAATTTTTTCGAAGTTATTTGGCTTTTTGGTATTGTCTTGCATTCTACAACATATGTGCTTGATCACAATCCATGTGAAACTGCAAGTCTGCAATTAAGATGAAATTACTTGAAAACCTTTGGGATTGTCCATAATTCAATTGAAATTTAGTTGCCCCCTTTTGTATTGTTTTTTGTTTGAATGCAAGGTTTGGAAAAGATGCAGTATTTGGAAATTATTTCGACGCTCCCTATAAAGAGCATCTTTGTAAGGTACTTAGTGCATGTCGTTGGGCACAAGTGCATGTCGTTGGATCGTCTTCTTTGAGAGATATCGAAGACACCACCTTCGAGGTACATTGATTGGGATACGTGCTCTGTTTTCTTGAATGGAACTGTTTGTTGGCTTTGCAGATATCCCGACATATTTAATTTTCATAGTTTTCTTCGATTTTGATAGGGAGAAATTTGGCGAGATTTTGCTCACGCGTAGCTATGGGGTGGACCAGACATTGAATAGGCAGAGCATGAATATCGGAGCTCTTGGAGGTAATCTCTGTGTGACTGATGATACTTTTCATTCCGATATATGGGTCATGAAGGAATGCGTAAATCGAGATTTGTGGACAAAGGAGTTTGTTATTGATTCAGCGGTTCATAGGGGCGAACCCATCGATGGACCTTTTAAGCCGCTGCAGTTTCTTAAAAACGGCAAGAGATTTGATGCTGTGGAATTGTGATAATTTGGTTTGCTACCATACGAAATAGAAGGAGTTCCGGTTTCTTGATTTCGGTGGGGTTAGAACTGTTTGTAAGATTGTTCCTTACCCTCCTAGCTTCGTTCCTCTGAAGGAATCTCTCATGGTCGACAATTTGGCAGTGCAGAATATGCCTCGAGGTATGGTCTTTTATGGTTTGATTTACTCGTAAAAAATATGCTTATATACATTTCAAGTTAATATCAGATTTGTACATTTTTATGAATTTTATATAACAATTGTTGGTTCTGTTTGTTGGCAGATGATCCGGACCCGAGTGAAGATCCATAATTTCCGAGCAAAAGTCGATGCATAATCTGCGATATGTATTTCTATATTTTGTCTTGAATCTTGTACCGTTTCTTATGTTTCTATGTAGCTTTTGATCAAGTCTTAAATTTGGTATTGTATTTATGTAATGTTCAGTTACAATGTTTGAATGAGTGTGATTGTAATAAAATTTGGGATCTCCATACCTTCTAAGTTTAATTTTTGTGAAATTTTTACATTTATTATTACTATTTTTGTGTCTATAATAGTAATATAAAAAATATAGGCTATTTTACAAAACCCCCCTCGTTTAATTTCTTAAGAAAATTGTAAAAACATGAAAATTGCTACAACAAACAAATGGGGTGGGAAGTGAAATATATGAAAGGAATGGGGTGAATATTATATTAATATAAATAAAGGTAAGGGCTTTTGTGTAATTTACTATAAAATAACACATAAAGATTTAATCCTACATCAACGAATCCGACCAACCAAGTGCAATATTGTATCCACCAAAACCGAATCCCTACAGTGTATTTTGAAAACTAAACTTTAATCTCATCCCAACCCATCACGCCAACCAAAAGAGCCCCTAGTGTAGTTGTGTTGCAATTACGGATAGGATATCTAAATGGTGATGATGTCTAGGTGGATATCATTATTATAAATGGATAATTTTAAACTAGTACTTCAACCGTGTGTGATGCACGCAGCTTAGAAAAAAAATTAGATAAAATAATTTACTAAAAATCTTTCAATATTTGATATATATATATATATATATATATATATCATGATTTTAGTACCTCATAAAACAAAATAATTGATAAAAATATTAAATATGAAAATGTGATATTAAAAATATGATACATCATCAGATATAAATGTTACAACTATCTCAATCAACACAGTCGAATCCTCAATGTGAAATTTAATTATCAAAGTGGCGTTTGCAATTGAAAGCATATGAATTGATGGAAGCCATCTAATTAAAACTCATCGAGTAGATTGCACGTTTTTAATTGGTCATATGCAATCATGGTACACATTACTGACACGTAAATCGCTTAAAAGTGTAAAAAATAAATATAATTCGTATTAAATTACCTTTATAAAAAAACTTCATTGAAGTCGACAGTAAGATTATCACAAAGTGCAATTAACATAAACTTCACCGAAACCCAATGTATTATTCCGTTAAGGTTTCTAACAATATTTCAGGGGATGATTGTAATTACCAATACTACAAGGACCTTAAAGTTATTTTTGCTTACCTCAGGGGTGTAGGTGTAATTTACCGTATATTATAAATTCAATTTTTTGGTACTCAATTTGTTAAATTAAAACGTGATTTGGTCCGTAGGTCTCCGTCTTCCTCAAGCCAGCTCCGTTCGTACTCCGGGTGAATAAACCTGCAACGCCGGGAGGGGTTCCCGGCGGGAAAGCTCCGACGATCAAGTCAGTGATCAGAAATAGAAAGATGTATATGCAATGTAATAGTGATTAGTGTAAAAATCTCATCCCTTTGTGTGTGTGTTGATTCTCTTATTTATAGATGAGGAAAGCTTGGCCTCCAAGGCTTTCCTTTTTTAGGGTTTCTCTTTTCCCCCAAGTCATGTATCTTGGGCCTGTATTGTCCTGGGCTCGCCTTACCTCGTTTTGGTATTGGGCTAGCGAGTTAAGGTACTCCCAAGTAGTTCCGGGGTTCGCGTCATATGACGACTTCGCTCACGGTACCGAGCTAAGACATCATGGGTTCTTCATTATGGGCCTATCGTATTGGGCTTACTCTAATGGGCTTATGTTTATTTATTAATTGTCAATCAAGCCCGTATCAACTACTCCCCCCTACTCCTTAATTATCGGGCGAGATAAAACTTCTGTTTTGTCCCGTTCGATGAATATGGAGTATGGAGTGCGAGGTAACAGTTCGTTTTTAGCGTTTAACCTTTGATGGGGAAGCGTGCTCTACCGCCTTCTGCTGTCCTATCAATCAATGCAGTCGATTCGAGTTCCCTAGGTCATAATGAGGGAATTTCAATCGGTGCTTTCCGCGCCGAATTCGAGGCGGCCTGCTTTTGATCTCGTTCGTCCGAATGAGTGGTTGAGATCTAATTTCCTCTTATCTCTTTCCCTATAAATACCTCATTAACCCAACTTGTAAAAGTTTTTTCTTTTTGCCTACACGTCTCTCCTCCTGCTTGATTTCTGGTGATTCCATTTTCTGAGACAGAGCTTTCCTCCCTCAAGCCTACTCTTTCTCTCTAGCCAAGGTATTACTTCTCTTCCCCATCTTTTATTACCTCCATCTTATTCTTCAATTCGATAATGTCAGCCCATTCCCCTGATCCTTTCGGCCAAAAAGTGCCCTCCGGGGAGGGGGGTGAAAACCCCGCCTTTTCTATTTCTTCCTCGTCGGAGGAGGGACCCTATTTCTCCCCCTCGGGCAAACTCTTAGAGCGGCCCAAGAAGAGGGGCAGAAAAGAGATTTCATCTTCTGCGAGGAGTGGTTCTCCTTCCCTATCTGAAGGGCGAGATCTGGATGACCAATGGGGGCCTAGCACTTTGAGCGAGACAGATCTAACCAACTTAGTTCGCGACATAGGCCTCCCTGCCGATGTCGAGTTGATTCTTCCTTCGCGAGATGACCGTCCTTTAACTCCCCCCTTAGGTTTCAGTACTTGGTTTTCAGAGCAGTTTTATTTCGGTCTATCCTTCCCTATCTCGCCTTGGTTTTCTGAAATTGCCCAGCTATGTAATGTGTCCCTTAATCAATTCCACCCTCACGCTATAATAATTATGACGGGATTCCGTATGCTATGTGCTTGGTCGGGGGTGATTCCTACACCAGCTCGATTCCGAAGTGTCATGGTATTGAAAAATTCCAGTCCTTTCCATGTTTCCATCTCGGCTCGTCCGGGTTTCAAAATATTGATGCCACCCAACAAAACCGATGGGTGGCAAGGTCATTATTTCTTTGCCAGAAATCCTGTTGACACGCCCTATTTATGTCCTTGGCTCGCCACCCTGCCTGAAAAGAAAAGGGGGAAACCTTTGGCGGTTGACGATTGTTTGTTAAAAATGATATCCCACTTTCAACCGAGCCACGGCGTCCCGGATAGCCTCACCAGCTTTCCGCCAATGCTTCGCCACTTTCGTTTTCACGACAACGGCACGTATTCTCTAACTCGGGAAGATTTAGGTGGGTTTGGTTATAACACTAATTTTTACCTCGACTCGTTGTCTTACTTCGGTCGGTTTGTTTTTTGTTGTTTCGCTAGTTATGTACTTGTATGTCTTGTATCTCACCTACGTATCTCCCTTGCCCGTTTGTTTTGGTGCGTAGATCTAAGAATGAAGAGGATGTTCCGAGGTGACAAGCCGGCTACCCGTCCCTCCGATCCGGAGCCTGGGTTCGAGGCGTCTGAATTTCAGCGCCCTCTAATCGCTGAATCCGAGAAAAGACCCTCGGAGGAAGGGGCTCTAAGGCCCAGGCCATCGAAGAAAAACGCCGCTCCTCCTCGCGCCCGTGGTGGACCTGCTTCGCGAACTGAGGACTCTGAACCTCCTAAACAATTCTCCGCGATAGTTCTCGCCCCGTCACCGCCTCCTTCTTCAACCGAAGAGGTGGTAGAGAAAGAACCTGCTCCGAAGAAACGGAGGTCTGAGCTGGCCCTTGGGGCGGCTGGGTCATCTTTACCGGCCGACTTTGGACTGTACCTCTGCCGGAATGCTGAAAACGCTATTGCTGCGTGCCGGTCCTTGGCATTCCCCACCGATGTCGCCCACTTCGGGCAAATGAGTAAGGGCGACCGACTTGAGTTGCTTCTTCATAACATTACACAGGTTTGTTTCACGCTGTTCTTGTGAATTGGTTTTTGCCATAGCATCTTGTATTTAAGATTAACTCCATTTAACCTCTTTGTGAGTGCAGCAATTCGCCATCGCCTTCTCGGGTCCCCTGGGGTGGGATGATGTTTCACGCGAGGCGTATGATAACCAGAGGAAAGAGGTGATGCAGCTCCGGAAGGAAGTCCGGGGTTTGAAGGAGAGTTTGGGAGTGTCGGAGTCCTCGAAGGAGGGGCTATTTGCCGAAGTGAAGAGGCTGAAAGAGAGAGAGAAAATCCTCGAGGCTGAAAAAGACTCCCTTGTATCCCATAATGCCAGTTTGGAGGAGAAAGCTAAGGGGCTTTCCAACGAGCTGTTCGCGGCCGGAGTACAGGCCTCCACCAATTTCACCGAAGGGGTGAAAGAGGGGCAAAGGTTGTTCCCGGGGTCGCCTGAGGGCCTTCGCTTCATCGAGGAGTTTGTTCGCCGCTTCTTTCACCGATTGTGGCGTTCCACCACGTTTACTCGAGAAGCTTCAGGCTTAGCTCGTTTCTTCTTTTCGTCGGCGGTTGCGGCTGTTCGGAAGAGATTAGGCGGTGCCGGCATCGAGTTCCCGTTGGTGGAAAACGAACTGGCAGAGGACCTCCCCGACGACGTGATCCCGGGTTTTGAGGGGGATGTAAATGAGGATCCCAACTTAGAGTGGTGGAGGCCGGTTTATCAAGGCCTTGTTGAAGAATTCTCCCGTCAAGGGGCTATCACCGACTTTGCCGGAGACATTGGGGCCCTTGGAACGGCGGTTAGTTCCGAAGAGGCACAGCCAGGCCTCGTTTCGCCGCCCCCTCCGGATGCTGAGAATCGGAGTGAAGCAGTTCCGAAATGAAGACCAAAAAGACTTAACCATTTATTATGTTTTGTACTTTGAACATGTACTTCTTAAATATTACTCTCTTTATTTCCTTTTGCCATGTACCCTTAACAATTTCTCCGTTTTTCCTTAATTTCCTGCTTGAAATGTCTTTATCCGCTTTTCAAGTTTGTGCTTCGAGCTTTGATATTCGTCTTGTCTTGACTTCAAGTTCAATTCATGTTTCCATATCTCAGATCATTCTCATTTGTGCTTATCCTCTAAGCTTATCAGTTAACTTGATCTCAGAAAACTGTTTTTATATTTCAACTTGATGCTTGACCTCATCACCTCGCTTATGAATACGCGACTTAGCGCTGCAACAGAAAACACAAAACATTGTCACACTAAAACATGCTTTTTACTTACTTTAGTAAAACACGCGATTTAACGCCATAGTGAAACACGCGTTTTAACGCCACAGTGAAACACGCGAGTTAACGCCACAATGAAACACGCGAGTTAACGCCACAATAAAACACGCGAGTTAACGCCACAGTGAAA